TTCACCTGAGGAAAAAGGCTTCTGCTTATAGAGGGTGGGGATGCTTTTGATGTGAGAAGATAAAAATTGACCAGCTGCTACAACAAGCATTATCTCCTCTGGATTAATGCACTTCTTCCACTGATGCTCGGCTATTACCCTACATGAAAAAGAAAAACATATTAAGCAATTCCAACATTTAGAACAACAATGAAGACAAATGTTATGTTAATAACAGAATTGCATTTATTTTTATCCGAGTTCCATTGATTTGAACATGGGAGTAGAATGCTGCTCCTCACACAGCTGTTTTTGAAGAGAGACAGAACTGGCAACGCTTTTGTTCATCATTAGAAATTATTACTTTGAAGGACTGACTTCACAACAGCTAAAAGACATGCTGTTCAACTCATTTTAGAGTACTTCTTCTTTTTACTGCCAACATATTTAAATATCCAAGCCTGCCCTGCTGCCTGAAGCACAACCACAGTCTTCCAGGGGCCTGTACTTCCACAGACTCAGACCCAACATCCTTAGCCCTACATCCATCCAGCACACATTGCAAAACCAGACAGCACAGTTGCATCGAGACTTTTTGAGAGCTTAACCCATAAATACTTGTAGGAAAAGAATGTACAGAAACAGAAAGCAGCGCTGGTATCACCTGAGGTAAGGTTGCTGTGGAATTTCCTTTTGCACAAAGAGCTGGGAGGGGAACAAGGCAAACCTGTTACACCAGCATGGGCAGGGAAACCTGTCCACACCAAGAGATAGAAATGCTCCACCAGTTCCAGAAAGATAAAGGCCAGAAATACGAGTTTTGTATTATGATGGTACATTTGAATAAGCCATGCAAAAAACTATGACAAGATATCAAAATTTGTGTGGACAGAGGCTCAAGACAAAACCTAAATAAAATTCTAGATGCTTCTAGAACAGGACTTCCTTTGACTGTCTTTATTGTTTAGCCTGAAACTCTCCAAGGCAGGGACTGCCACTTACATTATTACTTTCAGTTGTACAGTGCCCAAAACAACAGGGCCTGCAGCTTGGCTAGTCCCTAATTACTAATGTAATTAGAAATGACAGGAGCTTTAAGAGCCCTTTATGCTGAAGTAGATGCTGGAAAGCTCAGTAGTTCTCAGTCTCAAAAAATAACTCAAAATGACATTTATAAGTTGCATTACTAGCCCTTATTTATTCAGTTTGCATAATCCATTTCTGAGCAACACAGAAGCTGGTAGGAGTTTTCCCTCAGCCACGCTGAGAACAAGACCATGCAGATCTGTTTTCCAGATATGGGCCTATTCCTGTAAATTCTCTGTGTTTACCCCTCCTGTTGTTATGATTCAGAACACTCCCAGATTCAGCTCATAATTCCAAGCAGAGGTAATTCCCTTTTTAGAAAGCCAAGATTTTGTTCAGAAAACCTCAATCCCACTTGAAAACTGCCAGATTAGCTGCTAAATGACTGAGAAACTACATAAAGGAGATAAAATAAACCCCTAAACTACAGTTCAATCTAAGCCCTTTTCTCTGTGTTTGTTTACTTATGCAAAGAAAGAAAAATCACAACTTTCAGAGCAAGTACAAGCACTTCCAGCTTCCAGGGTAGAGCAGGAAGAAGACCTACCTTTCCTCCCAGTTATCACCCATACAGCTGCTTCCCTTTGATTTTATAACTCTACCCATATCATCCATGTCCAAGATAAGGAACGTGGATCCTGCTTGTAACCTCTCATACACTGGGACTGAAACAGCACCAGGAAAGGAAGAGGACACACCTTTCCTTGAGGCCATCACCATCACAGCTGTTTCCTTTCTGCTCTTACAACACTGCACAGGTCATTCAGACACACAGCTTGGGACCTGGGTGCTCTTTAATGACCCATCAGTCCCCAGAGGGGACTGATTAAGAACTGATAAACCGTAATAAAGTGTAATGGCCCTGGCCAGCCCAGCCTGGGGCCTCTGCCCATGCACCCAGGAGCTCCATTTAAGCTCTGGTCTGAAAGCCCAGCTGTTTTTCCCCGTTTTGCAGGGGGTCCTGACTGCAGCTCAGCCTATGCCTGGTTATAAACCCTGTTGATGTGGAGCCTGGCTCACATCTGGCCTTTTTGCAGACCTGCCTCATCCCTGTGGATGCACATTGTTAGGCTGTGACTGACCTTAGTTACCATCACCCAAACTGCAGATTGACCTCTCAGCTCAGCCTTGCCCTTGTCTCATGGCTGTGAACTCACCAGGTGACCTGGATTTTCGCTGTTTCCAGCTCCAGCCCCAGGTGTGCTCTTCTCTCCTTGCCCCAGGACTGAGTGGCTCCTGCTCTGTGTCTGTTTTATCTTGCTCATCTCCCCACTCCATACTTGTACCAATCTCAATAGTTGGCCATAATACATGAAAAAAAAATTAACAAAATCTGTGAAGGGTTCTAATTAGATTTTTTTTTTTGTTTGCTTAAAATGACAGAGTAAAGAAAAAGATATCCAGGCTAAGAATAACTCTATGTGCTGGAAGAGTACATTTAGAGCATAGAGAATCTTGTCTGGAAGCCACAATGAAAACATATCAATATAGTGATGAGAGTTTCTGTTAGGTGATGGACAGCAGCTGGTTTGCATATTGATAGAGATGTAAATTTAGGTACAGGCATCTTTTAACACAAAAATTCTTAGAGAATTGGATACACAAAGAAAGTAAGCATGTTATAAATTCTATTTTCAGGATCATTTAGTGTAGGTAAGTGGAGAACTTAGTTACTACAATATCCTAATAGGTGCAGAAACATTGAAAAAAAATAAAGATCTTCAGACAGTTTCTAGTCTGTGGCATAAAAATCCCTGATTTCTCTAAGGAATAATCCTCAGACTAAGAAAGGCTCTTCAGATGAATCAATACCCAGAACTACAGGGAAATGCAACGTGCTCTTTGACCACTGAAGCAGTCAAAGTGTGCCTGATCCTTGGGAGTGGAACAAGGCAGGACACCCTGTGCCACAGCTGTGGTTGCAAAGCAGCTGTTTCTTAGGAGTCAAAACTCTCCAGGTTTCCCACGTGGTCCGTGCACAGGAATTGTAATCATTACAACATAAAAAAAACCCCTCAGAACTAATTCCAAGAAAATATCTGGACAAGAGTTTTTTAGTATAAATCATCTGATGTTTGTAGTTCCATACGTTTCTTACAACCTGTCTTGTGTAGCTCCGTGCAGCGGAAGGGCTGATGCTGCCAGGACATCTAGTGGCACCCACGTGTACTGCCCAGAGAAAGAATATTACTAGAAAAACAGATTCTTTTCCTGCTTCCAGATATTTTCTGGTACCAGTCCAGGTTTCGTTGGCCGACGGCAAAATTTCTGTGTTTATTTTATTATCTAAGAATATAAAAGGGGGAAATGAAATTGCAAGAAGAAATGTACGGTAACATCTGAATCACCTTTCTAAATAAAGATGGGACATTCTACATAATCTTGATAAAATAAAGGTCAAGGCTATTTATTTTTCTCTGCCTTTTCACCCTTATTTGCATTTTGCTATTCACCTGGTCCAGTCCAATTGTTTTTCTATGTCTAGGCAACAGAACTTGCACTGTTGTTACTTCATACACTGAAAGGGAAAATCAGAATGTCTGAATTCCAGGAGCTGACAGCACAGGGCTCCCCAGTGAAGAACTACATTTATTTACATTCATTGCTTCCCATTGCACAGTCCTTCAATATTTTTTTTTTTAGCAATGTGTTAACCAAAAAGACATTTTAATTTCTGCTATTCTTGTTCACTCAGCTTCTTGTGTTACCCTCAGTTTGAGCAAGAAAAGTCACAGAAAGCAGGTCCAATCTGCTTGTTGTTTCATTTTTAAATGGGACTACAGCTGCTAGTTAAAATGTTTGAATAGCTGCAAAACTGTTCCTGTAAGGAAGCAGAAATCCTTTTCTTCGTTAATTTTTTTTTTTTAGGTAATATTAAAAATCAGTACTCTAATCCCAGCTCCAGAGAAGCTGAAGGGGGATTGCTCATCAGCAGCTGGAGTGCTGGTGTTGGAAATGATGTAACTTTCCTAATAACTTTCCTAATAACTTGTCTAATTAATTGTTTTAATTAATCACAAGCAGTGTGATTTTCCACTGTAGCCAGCATTTAACAAGGTTTGTCATAAGCTGCTATTGTGAGAACACAGTTTGGGAAAATTACTGAAACCTTACGTTTTGCTAAACCAACCTCGACGTGCTTCAATGAACAAAGCCCAGGAGAAAGAGAGATATTGCTGAAATCGGACACAAGGAATGCAGAATTTATGGACTACAAGGACACTTTGCGGTGACAGTAGGAAAAGGAGGAATGGCTTCAAATGGAAAGAAGAGAAATTTAGGTTTGATATATGGAAGGAATTCTTCCCTGTGAGGGTGGGGAGGCCCTGGCACAGGTTGCCCAGAGAAGCTGTGGCTGCCCCATCCCTGGAAGTGTCCAAGGCCAGGTTGGATGGGGCTTGGAGCAACCTGGGCTAGTGGAAGGTGTCCCTGCCCATGGCAGGGGGTGGAATGAGATGATTTTTAAGGTCCCTTCCAAACCAAACCATTCTGTGATTTGCCTGAACAACTTGTGTTCATCTTTCACATATTTATAGTTATGACACCTCTGCGTATCATTTCCATCTTCCAGGTGGGAAATTACAACAAAAAAAGAGCAAGGGTGCTTATCGATCCCAGTCATAGGGAAACCGCTGGAAAACTCTACCATTTTACAGGGTTTTCTGGACACCCGAATGCCTCAATTCCAACCATACAAGACCCAGGGGGTCTTCCAATTCCTAAACACGGGGGAGTGGGATAGTCTAAATGATGCTTTGAACGTGTAGCAGAGCAGCTGCCGGCAGAGAGAGCAGCGATCCTTAGGGACCCACCCACCCCAAACCATTCCAACGATCCCCGACAGGGAACGTCCCTCACGGGGGCGGGGGGGGGGGCGTGGGAAGGCGGGTGTCACATGACGCTCCCTCGTCACGTGATCCGCCCTGACCCGGAAGCGGCGCGGGCCGGGGACGCTGACGCTGGAACAAATATGGCGGCCCGCGGCTCTGGGGCCGCTCCGGGGCCTCTCCCGCTGCTCCTGTTCCTGTTGCTGCTCCGCGCCGGCCCCGCCAGCGCCCGCGTCCACCACCTCACCCTCAAAGTAAGGTCCGCGCCGCCCACGGCCCCGCTGGTTCTTCCCCCGGCCGTGCTGGGCTCCCTCAGAGGGGAGTGGTGAGCGCGGCCCGGCCCTGTCCTGCGCGCCTCCCGACGCCTCGGACTGGTCTGCCCACCTCTCCAGCGTCGTCCCGTTGACGGCCCTGACCCTTCTTCCTATTCGCTTCGCTCTGGGGTCCCCCGCTGCGCCTCAGCCCGGCCGGGCCCGGCTTTGTTCTGCTTTTGCCGTTACTCTCTCGCCCCTTGTGCCCCGTATCCCCACAGCCCCGTCCCTGCTTTTTCAGCCGCGGGTAAAACGTGTGAAGAGGCCTCGGAACTGCAGTGTTTTGAAGATGTAGCTGCTTCGCGTTCTGTTAAAAGCGAGGCAGAAGGCTGGGTGTGATAAGAGAGAGGGGGAGGCTTCTGAAAGGGGGTTGCCATTGAATTTCCTCTTAACTAAGTTTTGCCTTCCTGTCCTGGTCACCGGCCACTCGACTTTAAAGGGTGTTTGGCTGCCTTACTGCCCTTCCAGATGTAGCTGCTTTGCACTGCTCAAGCGATTAGCAAAGGCAGGGGAAACTGGTGCTGGCAGCTTTGTGTTTGGTTCCACGCACTGCTGGGTGTGCTTCTGAAGAGCCTCGTGTGGTGGTGTGACTGTATTTGAGAAAAACTAGTTATTCAGGGCCTTGGATGGGAAGTTCTGGAGGTCACCGTGAACGTGTGCAGCTCCTGTGGTGCTTTGCCCAGAAAGCTGCACGTTTTCCACGACAAAGGAACTGTGAAATTGGGATGGTGCTTTTAAGGACCTCTGTGTAACTCATGAAGGCTCTGTAAGGCTTCAGAATGATAATTTTGTTTGTCAACAACTTGCAATATTTTACCAGTAGAAAGGTTGGAAGTGCTTAATAAAGTGGTAAATGTGTTGCTGTGCTCTTGTACCAGTTTAGAGAGTCAGAACTTTGCAGGAATTCCCCTTCAGCCTTTGGGTTACAGTGAGTGTTGGGGGATGTTCAGACTATGTAGTTGCTTAAAGTGCAACCACATGAGTATTGTTCTGCTTCAGGAAAAGTAAACTTCTCCCTAAACCAGTGAATTAGGAGGTTTGTGCTGGTTACATTATTGTTTTGAGGAATCTGTGACAAATGGTTGAGTGCTGAGGAGTTTCTCCCCGGGGGGATCCTTTACCCTTATGTAGAAAACTTTCAAACTTGCTTCGAGCAAATGTTCTCAGCAGCAAACCTTTGGCTTCAAGTCTGTGTTAGGGTGTCTTTTCACTGCCTGGATCAATTACTAAGCCCTGTTTACTGGATTTTCCCACCAGAGTGGGGTGTGCTTTTAGTTTTGCAGGTGTTTTGTGCAAGTTGCAACACTGACCGCCCAAGAGCTGTGAGGAGTAGAAGTGAGTTAATGCCTTTATCCACCCCCTGTATAAACATGAGCTTTATTGTTAGAGCACAGTCTCTCCCTTTCTGCTTCATCCCCCTCTTTACAGCCTTTATGTAAACATCAGGCTCCAACAACTGAGCCCTTTCACGGTGAGGTCTCCTTTCTGGTGTTTTTGCCATTGGCTCCTTCCTTAGTTGTAAGTGTGCCTTGACACTGTGCCAGGCTAAAGGCCTCAGCTTTGTGGGAGTGTGTGATATTAGGTTTCCTCAAAAAAGCTGCTATTGCTTAACTTAGAACAGCTTCTTTCTTGTATCTTTGTAATTAACGTGCTAAGGTGAAGCTCTTTTGTTGTCAGAAAAAAAAAAAAGCAACAGTCTGTGCAGTTTTCTGTTCTAAAAATAACTATTTTTATACAAATGTACAGTTTATTTCTTCTGAGTTAGAGAAGTGATTTGCTTGAATATTGCTGTTAGACTAACCTTGACAGAGGAGACTCTCTTCCTTAGTAGCAATTGTTGTCAGCCTAATTAGTTTAATGAGACATGAAAAAAAAACCCTCATTAGTAACCTAACAAAAAAACCCTACAAAAATTGGATGGTGTGGAAGACTGGCAGAAAGAATTTTCAGACGATTCCAGAAGTAGCTGGTAGTTGGAATGTTTCTCTTGGCCAAAAATTAAATTTTTTTTGTTGTTGTTGTCTTAACAGTTCAATGCCAGAACATTGAAGCCTTTTGTTTTGCATAATGCAAATTGTCCCAGAGAATGAGGGAGTTGGTCTGAGCCTTTGTCAGACACGGAGTTAAGTTTAATGTTAGTGAGTAACCAAGCTACAGATTCCAAGAGAAACCTCTCAGCTGGCAACACAGTGTTTAACAACTTGGGTGCTGGAGTATTCACTTGGGTGGGTTCACACCTTTGTTGTGAACTTAAATATTTCTGAGGTCAGTAGAGTGATTATAAATAAAAGCTGGGTTCTTTCAACCCCTTAAACCTCCCGGGAGAGGTGAGACCATTATTGGTAAGCCAATGTCTTTAAGCTGTCAATATGTGGAGCAGGAGATGCTCTTGCTGTTGCTTGGTGGCAACTGGTGACAGTGTGTTTGTGTGGGGGATCATGTAAAGCTGAAGGATTTGTGAACTAAATCTGTAAACTCTAAGCACTCAAAGCTGAGATAAAACCAGGGAGGAAAGTGATGTGTGTTGGATATTAATTATCTGGGGGGGGGGGGGAGCATATCAGTAAACTTAGTAAATACACTTAAATTGAACTGAACAGCTCTCACAAGTGCTCTGGATTAAGAAGCTGTTCATGTTTGCAAGGTGCAAAACACCTTGTGGCTGGGTGACACTTTATCCCCCCCATACTCCCCTCACATAATCACCCAGGCAAATGTTTCTGTGCCCAGACGTGGTTAAATACATGTGCTGTGCTCTGTAAAGAGCCAGTATTAACTTTCTGTTCTGACTGGGAAATTACATCAAAAGCAGTGTTAGAGGAGCCAGGTGGGCTCTTGTTTTCAAGCAGAGTCAGTGACCTAGAACCCAAAAACAGCAGAGCTTAATGCTCTGTTGAACAAAGCATCTGCTGGCAGTCATGTGTCACTTAACTTTTTTTTTTCCTCTTCTGAGCATTAAGGGAACCATCTGGTTATTTGCCAGGTTAGCTTGATTCTGTTAGGGTGATCTTATTACAGCTGGATTACAGGTTAGCTGTGTCAGGATTAGTGTCCTGCTATCACAGTGAGTGAGATTTATGCATCAGGAATGTTTTATGCAGAGATGTCAGAATCAATACTGGGGTAGAGGAAGAGGGAACTTTTTGTACTTGTACAGTTCCTAGCTCAGTCTTCCAGGACCTTCTCCAGAACAGTTTGTCAGCCTTTAGCAGCTGACTTCTCTTGTTAGAGGACTCTGCAATGTGATTATCTTTTCCTAGATGAAGCAGGAGGAAGAAACAATTTTTTTATTTTTGAAACACTTGACAAGTTGTCACTAAATCACATTTTCAACTTGCTTTTTAATTTCTGTTGCTTTGTTTCTGCTTTTCTTCCAATTAATGACCCAGTAAGTTTGAGGGTCCAGCTGCAGACCTGTTTATTGAGTTATGAATGCAAAGTAACTGGGATATGACCTTTTGTCATCTGATGTGGCAGCTGTGTGTGATTTTGACTACTTTTCATGTGATATCCTTAAAGCTCATTGTACTTGAACCTTTATGAGCTGAGCAAGGCAAGGGATCAATAGCTGCACTTTCCTTGCCAGACTGAGAGGAAGGAAATTATTCTGCAGCTAAGACTGGGAGCAGAGGAGGATGTTGGAATTTTCCTGCTAGAGAAACTAACCCAAGTAATTCTAGTTTTGATATTTATTCTACTCAATTTTTTTAATTATTTTTATTTTATGCTAAAAATTATTTGGAGGAAAAGGACTACATAAGAAACTTTCTCATCCACACCATACACGTAGTTTGCCATTGTGTGAGGTGCTTGACTGTCCAAACATTGACCCTGCCTAGCATAGATGATCTGATGGGGTGACAATGCATTTTCTAAACACTTGGCCAAAACCCAGCTGTGGGTTAGGTCAGATCCCTAAAGTCATTTAATGCATCTTCAGTCTGTTGCAATGACAGTAGTCAGTGTTCAAACAATAGCTGTGTTGATGTACCTATGGCTTCTTTTGTTTTTTTTTTAGTAGCTATATGTTGTTTAATTAGATGTTTAAATTCTTCTGGACATTCCAGTTGCATATTTCCCAGTAGTATAGCCAGGCAGTTAGCAGAGACATGTTTAAGTTTTTACTGTTCGGGATATTGGAAAAGTTGGTCCATTCCAGTGAAATATCTGAAGGTATCCTAAAGAAATTTGCTTTTTGAATATTCAGGTGAAACATCTAATTATACAAGTGTCAATCTGTCACACTGCTTTCCCTTTGACTGCAGCTGCAGATGATTTTGCATGTGATTTGTAAACTTGCTTTCCTTTCTTACAGGATGATGTGAGGCAGAAAGTGCACCTGAATACCTTTGGCTTCTTCAAGGATGGTTTCATGAGAGTCAATGTCAGCAACCTTTCCCTGAAGCAACTGAGGGGCTCTGACATGAAGGGTTTATTAGTAAGTTCCTTTGGGTCCAGGGACTGTGGGAAGCCTCCTGTGAAATCCCCCTTGCACTGGAGACCTTTGGTTGTCTGAGGTGTCAGATCCAAACTGGGGGTGCTGTGGTGCTGTTGGCTTTGCTCCCCTCTGTGAGCCATTGGTGGGGATATGTATATTGAGATTTATCCTTGAGCACTCTCCATTCTGCTTTAAGGATGAACTTTTAACTTATTAGGTCTTCTGCTGAGCTCGATGCACACATCTATAACTTATATTGAACACCAACTTTCTAAGCAGTCCTGTGATGTTTTTTTCATGTTGTGTCCTGTTGCATTGCAATTCATCATGTGGTCATTGTGTCAGTAGGTTTCCAGAACAGTCTTATTTTTAGAGAACTCTAACATTACTTGATATATTAGGGATTTTAATGGAGAGACTGAAATGCTAGGTTGGAAAACAGATCTGAGTTCTTACTCTTCTGCACAGTTCAGCTTCCTTATTGCTAAAGGTGTTAAATGTTTTTTGTCAAGCAAAAACACCTGGAACAGTATTGAAATAAGTGAAAAGGTTCAGGGACACAAGTTACTCTAGATGTAGTTTGGTTTTGAATCAATTTATGTTTTTTTTTCTTGGTGGATGTGGATGAGGCAGCAAGTTTATTATATTTGAAAAATTTTTTATGTCTGGTTAGATGATGAAAAAAATACCTGGATTCTGCCTTAAATGTAGGTTGATTTATTTAGAAAGCAGTATCTTTGACTCTTTCAGTAATGGTTTGGCTTCAGTTTGACAGATTGTTCTCAATTGTCTCCTAGGTTGGGTTCAGTTTGGATCGAACAAGGAATGACGGGTTCTCCACTTACCTGGTAAGAGTAAGACAAGTGAACTTGCTCTTCTCAGCTGGGACATCTCATAGTCTGCCATGCTCTGGGAATGGTTGGAAGAAATAAAAAAAAAGGGGTGGGAGGAGGACTTTAGGGCATGGGCAGGATGTGAAGGATAATTTGGTTTTACAACTTGCTGAGCTAAGACTGGTGACCTCTACCTGGGGGGGGGAACATGTCCCATTTCTTATAAACCAGAGGGTGCTTCAGAGATGCTTTGCTCATGTTACCAGGATGAAGAAGTGGATTACTGTATCTTGAGAAAGACACCAGAGCCAGATGTCTCTGTTGTAATTTTACTTCTGGAAATTGAAAGGAAAGTGTGAGTAAATAGTGTACATGACATTTTAAAGTTACATCTTTAGTTGAAGATAATGTAACCCTTGAGATATTTTTTTAAGGGCTTGGAAAGCTGCTACACGTGTAATTTGCTTTTTTTTTTTTAAGGGTTTACTTGAGAGTAAAAGTAAGAAATCTGCAGTGTAAAATGGTCCAAGAATTCTTGCTGCATGTTGAAGGGGAAAGGGAACATCAAGTGACAGCAACCTACCCTAATTGTGCTGAAGGAATGAAGCCTTGGGTCACTTTTGCAGCTCTTGCACTGAATGTGCCATTTTATTGTCTTGACTTATCTATTTTATGGAAGGATCTTTGGGGGTGGGTTGCTTTTTCTTGCAAGAATATCTCAACTGTTTGTGTGCAAGCATAGTTTCTAAGGAGACTCTGGTTACTGAAGCTGAAGAACTTAATTTTCTTCTACTGTTGTTGTATTTGATGTAAAGTGTGACTTTTCCCACAGTTCAGTGCCACATTGCTGTAAGTCACCATCTGGTTCTCACCTGTTCTCTGTCTAAAAAATACAAGTCAAGAAAGGTTGATTTTCCTTTATTTGTTATGTGTAGGCTGTGACAAATAGCCTCTTTATGAATGTTGTTTTACTTTCAATTTGTAATAAAACCTCTTGTTTGTTTTTTTTTTTAGTGTGAAGGTACAGTTCTCTGCAGAAGCTGCTTCTTTGTTACCTAAAATTTCATTCATATCTGAGGAAAATGTTACTGCCTTAAGTACCAAGCCACTAAAAACTTCTGAACCAAGCAGTGATTCTGATAAAAACCCTTCAAAGACCAATGAAAATACAGATGGCAAAGGTAAGACAACTAAAACTGAGCTGTGTGTGCTCTCTCTGTTCATTCCTCATTGCTGTCCATCCAACACTGTGTTGTGGTCATGTTTTGGGGTCCCCTTGGGCTAGAACTTAGTGCACATCTTGTGTGGATCTGTGCACAGAGCTGCCTTTTGGGCTGGAGTCTCTCCTGCTCAGTGATTTGTGTTTACCAGTCCTGTTGATCCAGAAGAGAGATAATGTGAGTACTGGAGACCTTCAGTGCCTTTAAGGAGGGGTTGACAACTTGGTTGTCTTTTGTCTGGCAAAAAGAAGGCTAAAGAGGGGAATTTTATGGCCACACCAACTAGTTGACCAACTAGTTGAAGGAAGGTTAGGAGGACAATGATTTCAAACCATATTTAGTAGTGACACACATTGCAACCGGTTTCTGTTTCCCCTTAAGTCTTGAGTGTCTCAGGAGGGAAAATAAATAAAATACCTTCCCTAGGTGGGTATTCCAGCATTGTAGCAGATCACTTGTGTAGGTTGTAAACCTTTATCTTTTGAGGTTTTAAACACTTGACTGAACAAAACTAGGGCCAATGTGATACAGTATTGACACCAGGCATGCTTTAGTCAGAAGTTGGATTAAATATCTCCAGAGGTCCCTTCCAGCCAATATTTGTACAAGTCTGTATGTCTCTAAAGAGTTGAGATCTAGTCTGTCACTTAGGGGAGGGAGAAGTAACTGTGCTAGTAATCTTTTCTTGGAGGCACAAATCTTTGTCTGGCATCCACACCAGCAGACAAAACAGTTTTATAATCTCAGCTCGAATGGGATTAGCTCCTGTTATCCCTTCCTGGCAGAGTTTAGGCTTCAGATCAGTCTGTTGAGCAGTCTGATCTGAAATAGTCTGAGTCTGTCTTGGCCTGTCCTGTTCACAAGCTTTGATGCCATTCAAAAGTTTGCACAGCTGTTCTAAGGAGTCAAGAACCAAGAACGGATGGCACTGAAGATAACTGATCTGACAGCTGTAGTTTTGCTTTTTCTGGTGTTAAAAGGTGTAGCATGGACAGGGGCAGTGCACTGAGGTGTGGGAGCCAAAAGCAAAGCTTAAGTCTTGAACTTTTGCTTCCTCATAGAATGGGATGTTGGAAAAGCTTCTTATAGGAGTAGAGTGAAACTGTGAACTCGACATGGTGCTCTACTGAAAGCTCCTATCAACTCAGGTTTCTTAAGTTCAGAACAGATACTGGCTTGGCAGGTCACCTCTGCTTTTAGTAACTTTGGTTTTTTTGCTGGGACCTTACTTAATGTAAAGCTAAGAAGTTTTTCCTACCCTAGGGTTAATTAGGACTTCCACGTGTTTGTCAGGCCATGTATTAATGTCCAGGTTGAGATTAGTCAGTGAGATAAACAGTACTCAGTCTTAACATTAAAAGTCATGGCTGTACCTACATCTGGTGTTGGTCACCTGCCTCCTGCAGCACTGGCATGGGAGGGGTTGGAAGGGTTTCTGGGGTAGGCTTTTGTAGAAGGTGTAATTGTAGAGAAGCCCATGCTAGCATCTGAGGATGTATTCAGAATGAATGCCAGCTGTGGGAAGAGTTCTATGAGAGTAAGGAGAGAATCTCTGTTAATGATTATCTAGGAAACTGCCACGCTGACAAGTGCAGGAAGATGTGAGTAAGGTATTGGCCATGTGCCAAAGGTGAGGATGTCTCAATGCAAGCACTCTAAATGTACCATTAATACTTTTATCTCTAGATAAGAAGTCCGAACACAGCACCGCATCCTCCCAGGTAAGAAGCTGTCTGCACTTCTCTTTCAGAAAGAATCTGGGGGAATATTCCAGTATAATCAGCAGTGTAAACACAGCCTGAAAGTGGAGAGTATTTGCTGTTGCTCTCAGTCTCCACTGTAAATATACAGAATGCAATTTTCGTTGTCTGGTGGATGTAGCCAAATGTGTTGGTTACCTGCTTAAAAAAATCTAAAGGTCTCTTTTCCTTTTCCCAGACTGTTATAGAACAAGAACATCCTGTTCACAACGATGGGGGAACTTATTCATTTCAGGTAGGGTGTCTGTCAGTGCCTAAACTTAATGTGTGCAGACAGTTCCTCCACTGTACTACTTTGGAAAGTACAAGTCTGGTGTAGATGTCTCTCTGATAGCAAGAGTCCACTCAAAAATTTACTGAGCTAAGAATCAATGATGGAAATCTCTCTGTGTGGGAGCTGCTTTTAAACTGGCTTTGGTGTGATGCTGTTCTAAATATCACAGTGTGAGCCTCAGCATATTAAAGTTCACTGTGATGCCACTAGTGCATACAAATTACTAATAATAAACTGCTGTGACCTGACTGATTCAGGGGGAAGATATTCTGTATGAAACCAGATTAATGCTTTATTTCAGCAGCCTGGTTCTCTTGTGATGGTTGGTTGCTATAAAGCAACACACTTTAAATTCTGTTATCTGACACAAATCTCATTTCCAGAGCTATCACAATTTGCATAGTTGGGGGAGGAACAGAAAAGCTCCTTATGCTTCAGGGCATGTATTATCAAAAATTTATGCTTCACCATGTTAAATATATGACAGTTTTTGTTATCTCTTCTCTGTGAATTGAGTTAAACACTGATAGTTAAAAGACTTGGAAAACCAAGAGTGCATAATCCTAGATAGGTGCAATGATTTTGCATATTGAATTCTGTTGAAATTTCCAGATATGCTGATATCCCCTAGAACAGCATGTTTGCTGAAAGGAACCAAGTGACCCCAAATGACTGAATTCTTTCATGCTTCGGTAGAGATGGCTTCTTACCAGGGCAACCCTCTTGTGAATGAGAAGAATGCTGACTTTCCTATTCTTTAATTGCAGTTCTTTTTTAACATCAGCTCTGATAGCCAAGAGGGGCTCTACAGCCTCTATTTCCATAAGTGTGTTGGCAAGAAGGGGCCAGCTAATGATCAGCTGCGATTCAGTCTCGATGTGAGTATGGCTTCTAAAGTAGAATTAACTCATTCACTTAGACTGAAAGGTGCAGCTTTCAACTCCAGAGTGTAACTGAGCCCACACTGCACCAGTGTACATATGGGGTGGGAAGTGATTCAGAGTTGGGCCTCAATCCCTGCAGAGGCATTTCTGAAGGAAGCAACTACTGTAAAAATAATTAAAATACTCGTTTTGTAGAAATGTTGGAAAATCTGAAGAGTGACTGTGGGGTGGGTTCAGTGTACACAGTTATTGTGACTAGATGCTGTAAGGGGATGGGAGCTAAAACAGCTGTTTATGTCTTGCTGCACTCAGGGTCACTTTTTTCTTTACATTGTTGCACATATTAAGGCTCTTGCTGCAATCTAAATTGTTGGTATTTGTGAATTCAGTGTTATGCTTGTTCTGGCCTAATTAAAGATGTGTTTTTATGGTGTTAAATGCATATTTTAAAGGCAATATGTTCTAACAAATGTCTCATCTCTTTTGATATCCAAGGGTTTGGTCCTGTGTTTGTTTGGGCATTATCACATCTTGGGTTTTCCCCTTTTTTTTCTCTTTCCTGTGCTCATGCTGGTGTAAAATGAGCCAGTCTGTTATGAATCCTCTCACTGACTGAGCTAACTCAGCCAGATCAGCCCCCTGAACTGCTTTTTACATGGTAGTGGTGATGCTATTGCAAGGGAACCTGTGGGTGATAAAACTTAGCAGCCCTGACTTAACTCAGACTGGGCTACTTTAAATCTGCTGCTGAAGTTTTATGTTTAGAAGATCAACTTTTTTAATTGCTGTTTGATCCGCTGAAGAAATTGGAAAGAGAAGAAAACCTGGTTAACTGACCTGCTTGGATGTACTTAGAGTTTCAGTACTGCAAACTAGTCCTAATGCATTATTTTATTGAAGTCCTTGTACATGTAATCAAGCCACTTGGGGGCATAAATTGGATGCTAAATAATGCTTCTATTTTCTCAGTCACAGGGTAACAGGCTGGCAGCTTACTGTAGATACTGTTTCTGAATCAAAGGTGGGCAAGCTGTGAAGTTTGGGAGAGGGAACAACTATTCTTTAGGAAAATTACTTTGCCTTTCTCAGTTATGTTGCATAACTGAAAAGTTGTTTTTCAAGGAGATTATTCTTGTGGGAGTAATTTTGCAAAATGTTTTGAGAGTCTTGAGGATAAAGAGTTGGGTTTGATTTTTTTTTTTCTTTGAGTCTCATAACAGTTGCTGCTTCAGAAAAGCTCATTTTAAATGGGTGAATTTGATTGTGAACTGTAATTGTTAACTCAGTGCTTTTAAAAAAAAATCTTTTTTTCAACTGTGCACATAACACACCTTTAATATTCAGATAGAAATTACGGAAAAGAATCCTGAAAGCTACCTCTCAGCAGGTGAAATCCCACTGCCAAAACTTTACATTTCCATGGCTATGTTCTTTTTCCTGTCTGGGACTGTATGGATCCACATACTTCGTAAACGGAGGTAAGCAGGTTAGTTGGGTGTCAGTGACAAGTGGGGGCCTACCTTGTTTAGTTTTTATTTTTTATTCCTCCTCTTATAATGCCTAATTCATGGATTTGATCACTCCAAATATGGCTCAATATTGTTGTGCTTAATACACACAGTTTATATTTGAAAACTGCTTCTGTCAGTATCATTGTTGCAGACTGTTGTTATAAACTCTCATGTTAAAAATTCTTCATGCAGTGTACATATTAAACCATATTGTGACAAAAAATAGACAGGAGATTCCTGTAGTTCATGTCTAAAGGAGAACACTACTTGACAATAAATAAGAAAACTTTGATCACTTTTTTCATGTGGAAAATGGCTACTTATGGCAGTAGAGATCCATAAACATGTTGATTGCTGTTGAAAGTTATAGGAATTCTGAATTGAAACCCCTGCTGCTTAATAGTTATAACGTAGCAAAGGAAGCCAGCAGCACCTGTGGTTCTGTTTGGCTTTTTCTCTAAGTTAGCCTGAAGTTCACTTGGTGGCCTCTTTGTTGGTAGTTTGAAGTTCATTTGGTGATCAGATGATTTGGTATTCAGGGGTTCACCTGGTGATGTGGTGCAGGGACTTGGGCTGAAGGGTGGAGTGATACACATTTGAAGTGTGTTTAGCAAATTATCTAACAATTAAGATTATATATGCAGGATATGTGTATTAATTACTATTTTTAATTAACCCAAGTATAAAAATCAGGGGTTTAGAACATGTAGCTGAAACATTGTTCAGGATGTTGCAGAAACTGCAGTGTTCAAGGGAATCCTTTTACACTAATGGTCAGCTCAGCCTGGGGGTGACTGCTTGATGCTTAAAGGCTTTAAAGAAATCTCTTTTTACTCATGACTTTTAATTGATGCTCCTCCTTCTTTTCTTTCTTCCCAGAAATGATGTTTTTAAGATTCACTGGCTCATGGCAGCCCTTCCTTTCACAAAATCTCTGTCCTTGGTCTTCCATGCGGTACGTGTAATGTCACTGCTCAAGTAGTTCAACCTGGGAAAGTAGAAACATGGAATCCAGGGTGTGCTGTTAGAGAAATCTGCTTCAGAGAGGAGGGAGAACTGTCCTTAATACTGAAGCATTGGAAATGAGCTGCAGCAATTTTGGTGGAAATGATTCAGTTTTCATCAGCAAATTCTGACTTTAAATACGACTGAGATCATGGCCTGAAGTGTTGAAGCAGCAAGGGTTGAGGGTTTAATGAGCTCCACAATTTCTGATGTTTTGGCCATCTGAGGCTGGCCTGGAAGCTTGAGCTGTGCTGCTGCCTCAGCTGCATGGCTTGCTATGAATGTTAATAAATAGAAACCTTGATGAATGTTTGTAAAATTCAAGGGCACTACTGTAGGTGTATGGTAACAGACCTCACCTTATCAGCTCTAAGACTTTCAATAGATAAAGTCTCAGAAATGTACTGACTTTGCCTTTCCACTGGAAAGATCTCATAAACAAAGGTAGTGGCAATCATTTAATCCTTCAGTGTTTATGCCAGCCATGATCTTCACCTTCATGTTCTTGGCAAAATAGCTGCTACAAATATTTTTGGAGTCTAATGAAGTGAATTTGGCTTCCAGTGACACTAGAAAGCCCCTAGTTCAGGGAATGCAACTGAACATGAACAATGAATGAATAAATAGGTTCCAAATGCAGTTGATTCACTATAGCTAAGCATGGGAGTGTGTGGGAAGGATGTAGATTGTACGAGATACATCCACTAACTATTAAGAAATACAGCAAGTGGAAATGATCTCGTTGCTAAACAAAACTGGAATGAGTTGGGAGGAAGTGATCTCTGAATGTGACAGAGCTGGGTTTGCACACACTGGTTGGAAAATGAAACTCGAAGTGGTTGTCAGGCAGATCTGTTTTACAGAGGGTAGGGTGCTGAAGAGTAGCTTGTCAAGTGCTGTATTTTCTGCTTCCAGATCGACTATCACTACATCTCTTCTCAGGGATTTCCCATTGAGGGCTGGGCTGTTGTTTATTACATCACTCACCTGTAAGTATGTCAGAAGATGGATGTGATAGATTCAGACAATAGAATGAATTGCCTGTGGGGCTGCCTCCCTCCTGAGCAAACTGGGAAATTGTTGTCTTCTCAGTCAGACCACAGTACCAAAGAATCAGCAATCAGCCCTGAGTGAAGGGGAAAGCTCCACTTACAGAGGGCAGCTGCAGAGGATTGGCACTTCTGTGGGTGGAAGAGTAAAAGGATAACAAATGCTTTGCTTTCCTTTGTTCACACTAATATTCAAGTATCTAATTTGCTCTTGGTGTGAATGGTAAGAGGGCACAGCTGCCTGTGTTTGCTGCTGTTCACCATGGTGAATGGATGACTCCCCCAGGAAAAGATTGCATTTAATGACAATTGTGAATGAAGCCTAATACTGCTCTGTGGTACACAGTTGTAGGCAAGTACATCTGCTTCACTATTGTGGGATGGATAAGTGCTTGCCAAAATTATGAATAGCAAAGCATTTGTTTGGGTTTGTGGCTTTACTGGCTGTGAGAGAGAACCTGGGCAGAAGAGGAAGTGTGATAAAGTCTCTCACTGCAGTGTGTGTTTCTCTTGCAGACTGAAGGGTGCCCTTCTGTTCATCACTATTGCCCTCATTGGCACAGGCTGGGCTTTCATTAAACACATCCTGTCAGATAAAGACAAAAAAATTTTCATGATTGTCATCCCACTTCAGGTGAGGACTGAGGGGTGTCGATATTTCCTGTCTTGTGGGAGAACTGCTTTTGCAGACTGGAAAAGGCTGTGAGAACTTTGCATAATATCATATATTTACTGCTTGGTTTGGTTACAGTATAAGTTGAGCTGGAATTTCCTGGGCTATAAGTTACTTCTGTAATCCCTGTTTTTCCCTTTATATTGAGCATGAGGTAATGCTGATCAAATAGTTTCAGCAAATGAACAAGGGGCTATATTCATTCTGGGACAAAATTTGGGCTGGATAACAGTACTAAACTACAATGCAGAGAAATTAAATGAAAGCTGTTACTTCTGAAATGTCTCCTGAGTGACTTCTGGAAATAAAAATGAGAAAACCAAGACTTGTAGGCCTGGTGGGTCTGAGGGAAACATTCCCAGTGCGTTCAAAGTGATCAGTCTCCTGGTCCAGGAACTGAAGTACACAGGAGAGCAGCACTTCTGTTTTTTGTAGATAGAACAGTTTTTTGACCTTTCCTGGTGAAATCCCTTACCCAGCTGCAAAACCAGAAGTATAGAATTAGTGTTTGAGGCTCTTACAGAGCTCAGGTGTGGAGTACAAAAAATGGTTGATGACCTGTCTGAATTATTGGCTTAATTTAGAATTATGTGCTTAAACTATTGTCTGTATTTGCTTCTGCAGAGTCCTGCTTCTATATATAAAAACAATCAGATTTTGCTCTCTTTTTCTCTACTGATATATAGATCAGTAGATTCAGCACAGTATATAACAAAAGAACTATTTTCTGAACGTCAGCAGGAATAAGTCCCCATCAGTTTTATTTCCTGTAAACCTTGTGAAGATGTTGCTGAACGTGTGACTTCTTGATGTAGAGCTGCAGAAAAAGTATTGATGTTACTGAGTGGGCTTTTGCTGAACTGGCAAGACACATCTGGTGTCTCCTTGGGAGGTTTCTGAAGCCATGGAAGGTGTCTCATTGTGCAGGTGCTGGCGAACGTGGCGTACATTATCATAGAGTCAACAGAGGAGGGCACGACTGAGTATGGCCTGTGGAAAGAAATCCTTTTCCTGGTAGACTTGCTGTGCTGTGGAGCCATCCTGTTTCCAGTGGTATGGTGAGTTGCTGTATGTGTTGTGTGGTTGCAGAGCCCTGGTGGCTTGAGCTGTTTCTGAATTAATGGGCACTGACAGCTCATTAGAGCTCCAGATACTGCAAAGCAAAAGGAGTCAGTGGTCCTGTGGAGTCAAGCATTCTGTTGTCTTTTTTTAAACTTTATAAGCTTTGACACTTCAGTCTGGTGTTGTGGAAGACACTGGTTTGGGGATAAGGTAAGGTGGGTAGTGATGTAAATGTGACCAGCACAGTGCAGGCTTTAAGTGCTTTTGAAACTTGGAATTTTGCACAAGTGTTGATTCTCTAAATTGAAAGATGGGATTTTGCTTCACTGACTGAGATTAGAAACTAGACTGCTAAATTTTAAGACAATACTGTTGTCTAAGATCAGGGCTGCCTTCAAGCAGAGTAGCTGCATGTTTATTTGACTGTTGAGAAGAAATAATCCCACAGGGAGCACTTCCCCGCCCTTCCTTCCACTCTACTTGGCAAGGAATAATGTTGGTTATATAAAACCCGACCAAAACGCAGATAATTCAGATAAACACTATTGTTGCTTCTTGCCAGTTAGCCAGAACATTTATCTTCTAAATGCATTTTGTCTTAATTGGATAAACAGCTGGGTTTAAAGGAAGATATGAAGAAGCTTCTGTCTCCTTGGTTAGTAAACACAGAATATTCTTCTATTTTCTTCAGTATCTGTTTTTTTCTGAAATGCAAAATGTATGCAGAATGTATACAAATGTCTGGTAACGTGTCGTCTCTCCCAATGGTGTTACTCTAATTTTTTAGATAGCTCTGTTGCTCAGTAGATGGAAATAAGCTTCAGGTTGACTTGTGATGGTGGGTTTCAGCTGTCCTTCCCTTCCCCATTGTATTCTGTGGAAAGGCAGAGCCCTGCACAGTCCTGGTGGCCTTCTGCCAAGGCTGGGAAATGTATTCCAAGAAATTTGCCCTACTCGCTTGTCCTTTCCTCCTCTCCAGTCAAAATGCTGCAGCTCTGAGATATTTGGGTATGGCAAATAAAATTGCAGGGATAACAACTTTACTTGTAGTCAGACTCTGATTTCCTATGACAGAAGTGACTTCTACAGTTGCAGTTCTTGCTGCCTAGTACTGAAATCCACGTGTCCAACCCAGTGATAGGCTGGTGCAAAACTCACTTTCCATGAAGGAACTGTATTTGAAGAAGAAATGCATTTGGGTGACCTGTCCTATGACTGTTTAAAATGTGCAACCAGTGTTCCTGCATTGCCATGGTGCCAACATAAACTGGCAGTGAAGCCCCTGACATAAAATCCTTCCCCTTTTTCATCTGCGTAGTGTCACTGCAGCTGGTGGGATGATTCATGTGAGCAAGGTGACTAAGACTTGGCCCCTGGATTTCCATTCCTGCAGGGTAGTTTCTGTTACATAAGTTGCCTATGTAGATGTGTAAGCTGTAATCAACTATTTAAATGAAAAGAGCTTAAAAGAGCAGTAAGATGCCAAATGCTTGGCAGTTCTCTGAAGAGTGGCTCAGCTTTATTTTACAAGTGGAAAGCATTATGCTGGAAAATGCCCCAGTTTCTCACTCTGCTCTCTCCCTCCCTCCCACAAACCTTTCTGTAGGCTGAAGTGGGCTTTAGCAATCTGCTTTCTTAATCCCAAGGAAACAGAGATACTCAAGCTAACTGCCTGAGCTGGGGGCATGAGGGTGAAGCATGTGCAGTGCCAAGCACAGTTAATTCTGATCACACCCCAACCATAAAGAGCTAACAAAACTTGTCAGTGATCTAGAGGACTACAGTGGAAAGGGAGTGTAAAACTTATAGCTAATCTATTCTTTATTTTTATTTTTCAGGTCAATAAGACATTTACAAGAGGCTTCAGCAACAGATGGGAAAGGCAAGTAATCTTTTTTTTCTGCTTTATGCCTCATGTCATAATGCCAGAATTTCAAACATGTGATGCTAATTTAAAATATGTAAACTAAAAACTATAAATCTACACTATTTTAGTGTCACTCTGCTTTTCCTCAGTGGGCTCGTGGGAATAGCTTTTGGAAAATGACCTTTTTCATGTATTGCTTTGACTATCAGAGCTGCTATGTGTAACTCCTTCTCTGCTGCCTGCACAGCTCTCTATGCTTGAGCTAAACATGACATCTAGAGCAAATCATCTTGACAGATTTGCCATTTTTTTCTCACTTGAATGTTCAGAAGCAGAACTAGAAACGAATTCCAGAATTGCTGACTATTAGTCTAACTAGACCCCCTTATTTCGATCTCTGCAGAACTCTGTTCCTGGTAGAATAGAGGGAAACAAACCTCATTATGAAACAAAACCTAACTTGGCATTCAGTGTAGCACAGTTCTTGACTTGTCCATGTTTGTACAGCAGCTCCAAGGGCTGCTAGTGGGAAGTGGAGTGATGTTTATTGTAGCAGTGAAAATGAGGTGATGGATGGAAGGCCAACCCAAGTACAGCTGCTGCAGTGTGTGCTTTTCCTGCCTTATCTGCTCACTTCTCAATTAGTTCCTCAGATACAAGCTATGGAGCATACTCTGATTTCCTTGGAAGCAGGCAACCATTTCAATCTTCTGTCATTTGGTGGCTTATTCTTCTTGGAAGTTTCTTTTGTAGAAGGTCATTTGTTGGCAACAGCTTTTTAACCCAGTTTTGTCCTTTAACTCTTGTCTTTTCTTTCTGGACATGTATTCCCAGGTCTGGATACTTCTTCCAACCATTTCCTTGGCTTTCACTGCCACTCTTGCATTTCACTGCTGATTATCTCTGTAGGTGAAGTATAAGGCTGGGTACTGAACTCAGCTCTGCTCAGACCACAGATTAGGGGTTTTTTTTGCCATCTGTTAAATTGAAACCATACTTACAATGAATTTGAGGTTTTTTTCATGTTCTGAGCTGTTTAAAAAAAAAAATCCAAACAAATAACAACCCTCTACACACACAAAAAACCCCCCTCCAAACTTAAAGGTGGAAAATTATTAATTTCTAATAGAAACAAATGTGAAAAAAGGTCAGTTTTAATAATGTAACATGAATGCTCTTGGTAGATTTATTATCAATGTGTTCACTTGGGTCCAGTGACATTCACTGATGAATTTGTTATATGTTGTGCACTGAGCATATGTTCTGGAGTATTTATGCTCTTACTGTTAAAAAGTGCTAAAATTTAAATACTCCTTGAAGCAGTCTCTTCTGAACAGAGGACTTCACATATGTCAGGCCTGGTTCTTCCCTGGGTGGCAATGGCTCTGACTGTCCTGGCACTGAGCACACAGCAGTTAGTGCATGTAACCGAGACACCAGTTCCAGATCCGTGTGGCCCCAGGTAATCTCCCCGTGCCTACCTTGGTTCTTATCACAAGATGGTGCTATGGAGTTTACTTAACTTCAAGTATCCTGAGTGAAGGAGAGGTGGCTAACAGCAAAAGATGTTCAGCATCAAGACTGGACCTGTCCCCTGTCTTTCATAACCGGTGGAACCCAGATCTGAGTAAACCCAAGCAGTTCTGAAGGATGCACTGTGGTGTGGAAAAGAAAGCGTTAATTTGAGAGGAAATGGCTGTCTCTTTACAGTCAGTCAGTGCTATGCACAGTAGCCCTTAAGGGCTGTTTTAGTCCTCTGTATTGTGTTGTTCTCCATGGGTAATGATGCTTTTTAAATCGTGGATGTTGCTTGTGGATCACCTACTGCTGTTACCAGCTTTACCTGCTGGTGTTGCCATCTGGTTGTGCAGATCCTGCGAGTTCAGTGACTGTGTGCTGAGAGGGACTTAGCAACTGTGTTATGCTACACTAATAATAAAACAATATCTAAGGAAAATATTTTCAGGGGAAACATTGCATAGGCTGACAGCAGATTGTGACCAGGAGAGCCACAGTGCTGGGAATCACTTGTGAAACACAATCTGTTTTGACTATTTAGAGGCTGTTGATAGGAGCCCACGGGGAGCAAGTGGATGGCAATGTGATGCCAGAAGCAGAATGTGACCTAATGATGTCATGCTGTTAGTGTGTCTTGTTGAGAAAACCAAAAGTGATTTGGTTGCACTGTAAAATGTAAAATCATTCATGCTAGGCTTATCAATGAACAGTCTTTACTAGAACCAAATGCTCTTTACTCTGGAGGCTTCCCTTGGAGGCCCTGTTCTGCAGAGGTGCTACTCGGTATCTCAGCTTCTCATATGAAGAACAGAACCAGCACAAACTCTCAAATCACCAGCATTTTTTTTCTTGCTGTTGAAGGTAGTTTTCTCCTGAAGTAGTAAAAATTACTGGATCCTCTCATGCAGTTTAAGTGCTGCACTGCCTGTCCTGTGGTTAGAACTGGATCTTATGCAAACAGTCCTTGTTGGACTGGCTGTTTCCTGCTGGGATTTATTGTCTAGTCAAAGACTGTTTTCCCTGTAGCTTCCTTAACTTATTAGGTGTATTGGGGAATTACATACTATACATTCACTAGTTATTTTTCCTGGCATTGAGTCTTCTGGTGACCTTGCCAGTGAGAGAGACCTAAGGGAAATTATTTTTGCTTCCTTGCATCTGTTAGAACTAGCAACTCCAGGACTTTATGGCTTGGTATCTTGGTGGTGTTTCCTGACTGTTTGTCTTGTTTTCTTCCAACTGCTTTTTCCCCTGTTTATTAGAGAGCACTGCCATGGGTCAAGTGCAGCCGTGACTGCGATGTGACTGGACTCAGAATGAAGCAGAAGGCAGGTTGGATTTACCAGACCTTTAGTCTCAGGGCTGTGCTTGCCATAGGCCTTTGTTTTAGCAATGTACAATTAATAAAAAGGCTTGTTATAAGTGGCAATGATTTGGAGTTACTAGCTGATAGTCATTTAAACCAGATTATTTTTATTTTAAGTTATTCTAAAGTACAAAAGCTAGAGGAATGGGTCTAAAGCCATCATTATCTGGGCAGACCTTACATATGCAGATGCTGTGGATTGATAGTGAAGAGTAGACGTGGCAGAGTGATACAGCTCAGTTTGAGCTGCCTGGTTGTTTGCTTTTTTCCCTTGAAGGTGATCTTTAAAGCAGTAAGTCTGACCTACACAGGCTTCTTATCTTGCACAGCAGTGGGTGTAAACATCCCATTTTTAGAAGCTTTTTTTCCTCCCCTTTAAAAATCGCCACCTTCAGACTTAAGCAAGTGCTCAGCTACACCTCTTTGATCTGTCACTATATCTTCCTTCAGATGGGAGCCTGTGCTCTCTGTCCATTTCTAGATCTGCATTGCAAATGTCTTTGCAGACATGTAGATTTAAGGAAATCAGCCTTGCAAACTGACCTAGAATCCTTCAGGCTGCAAAGCTGCTCAACTGCCACCACCTTGTTTATAGGCATCATGAGAAAAGAGAGGGAGTATATATATTATTTATATATTATTTTGTTTGAAATACCAAGTTCTTGGTCACTGGACCTCTTAAGTCTCATAACCCACTCTAGTCATCATGTCATCTGTTGTTTGAGGGAGGAATGGGGGTTGAAAACATTGCTGCAGTTTGTTCTGCTGGTACCTCTGTGTGTGACTGTGTGAGGAGAATGTGACACAGCACAGTCAAATCGTGGTTTGCTGTTTTCCTGGGGCACTGCAGCATGTCATGGTTGGCAGCAGAACTAGGGGAAATAGATTGCAGTGTGTAGCTCCCAGGCAACATCCCTGTGTTCTGTGCAGTGGGCAAATAATGATTGGTGCTCCTGTGCTTGCCCCCACGGCAGGAAAAACCACTTGCAGTTTTCAGTGTCTTCCTGCTGCTGTGCCATGAAAGTGCTGTGAACAAAGAGCCTGGTCCTGAGTGTGCAGAGCAGCCTCTGCTTGGCTCAGCTCAACACCACTTCCAGGTGCTGTCCAGGGTTGATGTGGTAACTGCATGTTGGAGATACATTGCTTATCCTGTACTTTGGACTTTCATCTGACCCTGGTGGAGACCTTCTGTGCCAAATGGCTGATGTATTCCAGGATATTCAAGATGAACCAGTCTGTGCCACCTTCTCATGCGTGACACTGGGTGTTGCTGTGTCTATCTGACCTCCTCTTTCAGGAGTGCTTTTAAGCAGAGTGCTCTAGAGACTGTAGAACCACACTTCTCAGACTTGCTTTTTTGAGGTCTGGATCTACATGTGTGCTGCACCACTGGGGAGAATAGAAAACTTCCATTTGCAATTCGATAATGGCACAGATCACATCTCAAATGCACCAGAGTGAGCAGAGCAAGCAAAACATTGTAGAGATATTCTCAGCTGTACTTGAGTGTGTTCTCTTGCTGCATTATGGTTTGCCTTTTGTACTGTATTGTCTGGGCTTGAGTTCCCTGTGCCCTCAGCTGCAGTCCTGGGATTGTTAGTACATATATATTCTGAAAAGGTCAGATGTATTCATCAAAAAGCTATGGTGTGGTGTGCAGGGCTGCAGTGGTGGTCCAACTTTCCTTTTTCCATCTTACAGGCAGTGTCAGCATTGGAAATTAGCACAGGGGCAATCTGAAAAAGAGACTGCTTATCAAAATACTGGGGTGTGCTGTGTTTTGGTCGATGCAGATCAGGCTATTGCAGACACAAACTGTTAAAGTAAATGGTGATAGAGAGGGAAAACTGAGGGGAAGCAAGGTATAGATGTTATAAGTCTTTCTTGGAAGGATGGCTTTCATCTTTTTAATTACTCTATGAAAGAGATGGAACTCAGGTATGAATTAATTTGTAAAACCTTTGGTAGAAAGTCTTTTTAATTTTATTTTTTCCCTTCTCTGCAGTTAAGTACTGTTCTTTGCACAATGGTTATCATACTCGAAACATAAATTTACCCAACCTTTGCTGCCTGCTGTGTCTGCTGCTGTGTTATCACAGCTTTACAGGTTGGGGCTGCAAGTGATTCAAGTTCTAAGTGACAGCTGCTGGCCAAGCCTCACTCCCTGCAAGTGCTGCTGTCAGTGCCCAGGCTGCCAGGCTGAGGTGAACAGAAGTCTTTAAGTGTCCAGGACAGCAAGACTCAAATATTACTGCTTGGAGCACGTTCAGCCTGTGAAGAAGCAATTCATAGGCTGCTGATGCCAAGCAATGATGATTTGAGATTTTCTCCAGAACAGTGTGTCCTGTAACTTTTGAGTTGTTTAAAAAAAAAAAAAGGAAGAATTTTGTAGACATGCATTAATACTGACTTGAGTATCTGATAGTGGAGAGAAGTATTTCTGCTGTTGAGGCAGCTAGAAGAGAGCACCTGGTTCTAATAAATCAGCAAGCCAGCTCCCACAGGTGACTTTTTTGCCTTTCTGCTTGGTGGTGGTTGCCTTTTTTTCCTTCCTTCACCCTTCTTTCCTATGCTCAGACATTCTGGATGGGTGGATATACCAACTTATGACTCCTTGGTATTGATTAGCATGATGAGTAGGTGAGATCTTGAGCTGTGCTTTATCAACTGGGAGAGGTGACACTTCAATTGGCAGCCAGATCTTTGTCTTTGCTGTCCTTTCATCCTCTGCACTGCATGAATCCAACAGAAATGACTCCCCAGCTCGCTGTTGTTGACTGTAAAGCACTGATGGACTGGCAGTTTGAATCACAGCTGTTGAGTTGGTGTTCCTTAAACTACAAAGCCTGGTAATTCTCATGGTCTGTCAGTGCACCAGCTGGTGGCAGTTCCTGAAGTTGGATGCGTTGAGTTCAAAATAGATCCTTCTGTGTGCAAACCGGTGTGGGGGAAATCACAAGATCTTCATGGTCACACTTAATGCAGCTCTCCTTTAAATAGGACAATACTGCTTCCCTGCTTCGTGATTTAATGCATATTTGCACATTTTAATCTTTCACCAACTCTGTTGGGAAAAGCTTTTAACATCAGGTCATCATGCCTTGTGTTAGTCAAGTGCTGCTCTTGGAGTGTTTCTGCTGGAGGAGGGTTTGTGTTTGTCTCAGGGTTCCGTAGCTTTCAGTGGTTCTCATGGAACACTAAATATAAGCTGGAAAGGGACTCTTGATATCTAGATTGTACACATTAACTTTATAACAATGTTGCCTGACTTCATTGTAGTTGCTGTAGTGGGAAGCTACAGGAGTTTATCTGGAGCAGTGCATTTGATGTTGCCTTTCTTTAAGAAAAACTGCTTTGTTTTTGTCACAGGAAGTGAAATGTTTCTTTGGGAGCTATTAGCCCTTCTCTTCCTCATGTGTAATACTGTATTTTGCTCTCTTGTGAGCCTGGAAGACCTTATGTGCAAATATATGCAGCCTTTTGTAACTCTGTGCTGGGAGTGAATTCTGTGAGGAGGTGCAGGTGAACTTAAGCACAATGTATTGCACTTCCACATCTGATAAATACATTATGAGGGCTTGGAGGGACTATCAGTAAATATGTGGCAACATTTTTTAACTGGCAGCTTGTATCATTGGCTATAAGCTGCACCTCTGTACGCTGTCAACATATCTTGGGCTCTTTGCCTCTCATGTTGTCACAAAAGCATCAGGAGTCTGTGTTCGTAATCCTGCTGCACGTATAAAACCTGACTCTCAAACCAGAGTTGACAGCTGTTCCATCTGTTGTTGACCTCAGCTCGTTCACATGAGTGTCTGCTGTGCTCCTGCAGCTGATGGGATCTGTCCAACACACGGAGGTTTGCCCGGGGCCTTGGCTTGTGCAGCTTGTGACTGAAACACATGCATTTAATAACTGGTTGGGATGATTTCCCGTTTCACTTGTAAACTGTGACAGAGCCACAAACATCCTGCTTAGATGTTAAAATGCCTTGCTGCAGTTCAACGAGATGCAGTGGTTCCCAGAGCTGTGATTACCCCAAAGTTGGTCAGGTCAGCAAGGACTCCAGAAAGACAGGAATTTTCTAGGAGGTGGTGTCAGGTGGTGTGGCCCTTCTGGCAGGAGTGAGGTGACTGATCTACTTGGCTGTACACAGGTAGAGGAAGGCTCTATATTGCAGGGGTAAAAATTAGTGTAAAAGCAATCTGAGTTCCCTTTTTAAGAGAGAATTCACCCCACCCTGACAATTGTCCACTCCAGTCTGGCACTCCTTGGAGTGCCCAGTGGGGTGTGAGGCAAACCCTTCTAGTCTGGGATTGAGTCCTGGTTTTGACCACTTGCCTACCCTGCAGACAAGCATAAAAATTAACTGTCTCATTTTAATAATTTTCTGATGGACTTCTGTGTTTTCTCTTGATAGCTGCCATTAACCTAGCAAAGCTGAAGCTTTTCAGACATTACTATGTTATGGTAAGTAAAACACCTGTACACAGGCATGCAGAGCACTTGGAAGCTGTTCAAACCCTTAAATGGAATACTTGTTGGAAGCTACCACACCTGGTGGATGTGGTGGAGGTGCTCCTAGCTCTGTGCTTTGGCATCTTGGTCAACTGGCTTACAATCCTAAAAGCAACTTCCCTTTTTTTCCTAATGGTTGCATCCTTCTGTCTATCTTTAAATTGATTCCAGCTATTTGTAATGCTTCCTGATTTCCTCTGGAGACAGCTTGAGCTGCCAGTTGAATTGATGGGCTTGAATAACATACTGTAAACTTGCTAAAAATTAAACTTGGGACCAAATGGTGCCTTGAGATGCATGTGTGCAGTTTGTGATGAAGTCAGTGGGAGCCATGGGTATATCTCCCAGGAGAACACAGGCTTCTTAATGATTTCCAACAGCCTCATTTCAGGCTCTTATAAGTGGTAAGAGTGATAAATTACAGTCGTGATTCTTCAAGTTCTATGAAGTTGTAATACTTAAAGCATTTCCTGCTGTAACATGAGTGTGTTACCAACAGCTGGAGTTACTTGGATGTTGAACAAGCAGTAGAGCCCTCAGCCTATATCTTCCATGTTTATCAAGGAGCATAATAAGACCAGTCTGACATAAGGAGTTGTTTGGGAATTGCTTGAGCTCTTTCTCTGGAAAAAAAAAAAAGGTTCTGTAAGGACGGTGCTATTGTTCTCCTCACGCTTTCTTCTTTTCCTTCCCAGATTGTGTGTTACATTTACTTCACACGGATCATTGCCATTCTCATAAAGATTGCTGTTCCATTCCAGTGGAAATGGCTGTACCAGGTATTTGCCAACAAGGGAAAATACATCCATTCCTTGGCTTTTTTTTTCTCTATTATTCTTTAAATATAACTGCACCAAAAAAAATCCATAAATTGGTCCTCATGTTATAGTAGAACATCTCAAAGCACAGTGCTGCACCCTGTCTCCTCCTGATTTTTATCAATGTTATGCTTAAGGTGAAGGAATATATTTTTAGTCTTATGTTTGTCCAGTGAGCCTGCTGGATTATACATGAGATGTCTGAAAGTAATTGCATTATTGATTTTTTTTTAGTCTTTCAATTTAAAGATGTCTGAAGGAAATTAATCAAGAACATACAAAGGAGAAAAAAAAAATTTGTCAGGTTTGCCCTGTGTAATTGAGGCCCCAGGGAGCCAGAGAATTAGGCTTTTGCTCTTCCATCTACAGGCTTTATTGCCTAGTGGCTTTTAAATACTTGGTTTCTTAACATATAATCCAAGTAACTGTGCAGGGAGTCCTTGGAATATATTAACTGTTGAAAATACCAAATAACTTAGGGATGATTTCCCCCCCCCCTCATTTAAAAGCCAGGTCTTGCCATAGTTCTTTGAAAGCTCTGGATTGATGGATAGAACTGTAACTGTATTTAAAGTGACAGGGAAAGCTGAAAGAACAAAGGGCTTGACAGCCTTTAGCCTGGGATTAACGATAACAGGGCAGGGATTGCTTTATTTCTGCTATGGCACAGGCTCCTTGGCCATTAAACCTTGAACCTTATGAATGAGGAGAAATGTTGTGTGACCACGAAGCATTACAGGACTGAACTTCAGTCTTGTGTTTTCCCTTGCAGCTGCTGGATGAAATGGCCACACTCGTGTTCTTTGTCCTCACTGGGTACAAGTTCCGTCCAGCATCAGACAACCCTTATCTCCAGCTTTCTCAAGATGATGAGGATGACCTGGAGATGGAAGCTGTGTAAGAACCCCCTTCCCTTCCTTTTTTTTTTACCTCTTCACTTGATTTGAGAAAAGTAACGTTTAAAGCCAGTTTACTTTAATCTCTCTAAATCCTTCTCTGAAAAAGATTAGTGTCTGCCCACATGCTTAAAGATGAGGTGTCTGTTTGGTGTGTGTAAAGAGATTTGTATTTATGCATAGGAGCCTCTGACCTGGCTATTGCAGTAGTGGGGAATAAGCTGGTAAAGCTTTTCATGGGGCAAAAAGATGCCCATGAAAATATCAAGTAATAAAGCTTCTGAGTTGAATTTATGTCACTGAACGTGAACGAGCCTTGCAGGTTGTCATTAATGCTTCATGTTTAAACAAAAAAACCCACAACCAAACCAACAACAAAAATGACCTGCCAGTCTACCCAACATAAATGACCATGGTGCCTTGGCATTCAGCCTGTAGCTTTGCAAAAATTTATCTAAAGCAACACTGAGCCAAGGAGATGGATTTTTGCTGATACTTTTCCCTGTTCTGTTCCTCCCTGCTAAACCCGTGAGGCACCACAAATGCTTCAGGACCTGAGCAAGTCTGGAGAAATGATAAAGTAGGGCTCAACCTAAGTCCCTGTCATCTGCTTTGCAGTGATTTTCTGAGGACTTAGAAAATGAGTGGCATTTCTGAATTTATGACAGAAACTGCCCTAAGAAATTCAGCCTGCCAGGAGTGTTGGGTACAGCTATAACTGCCACAGACTCTGCTGCCTTAATAGGAGCAGAGCCAACCTAATCCTTTAGTAGTTATATATTTCATGCATAATTGCAATTCATGTACAGGCTCACAAGCCTATTCCTAAGAGTTTTTCCAATTTGGTAAATCTCCTTTACCTGATCTTGGGTGAAATAAATGAACTCTCCAATTTTTAATACAGAAGCAAAAAAAAGTCAATGTGGTCGCTCTCCTAGTTAGCTCAGAAAGAAATGGATCTCACTGGGAAATTGCTACAAGGAGGTTTGAGTCATAGAATCCAGCCTCAAATGTAATCTAAGGAGTTGAACTTCTGAGAAATATCGCTAGTAACAAAGATCTTTTTTTAATGCTTAGCTATTTTTGCTTTGGGTCTAGAAAATCTGTCATTTTTTCAAGTGGAATCCAACTAGTGGGTAGTGACCTTAAAATCACTGTCACTTATAGGTGTTAAAGTGGTTATCTAAGAAACTGATTTCAGTTTGGCAGCTGGTAAATAAACATTGACATCAGGAAGGCACTGTCTGAACTGGAAGATTTGTGATTGTACCAAAATGGGCTTTTTTCTTTGTTGCCTGTTGGAGTGAATTTCAACTTTGCATTACGTGCTTAATGAATTTTTGCTTGTGGGTTGGGTTTTTTTTTTTTTTTAGGACTAATAATAGGACACCTTTCAAATACAGTGATTTCAATCAATTGGAGAAGTTGCTAAATTTAGGAGAATCTGAGAGAAATAAGCTGGAGAAATTTTAATGAACTAATTCAGTGAAATAGAGTTACTAGAAACCTGAGGATCAGAATTCCTTGTGAGCCTTTTCCTAGTAAGGGGTTTTGCTCTTTGCCTTGAGAGTTTCCATTGTTGTGCCTTGTGGGTTGTTCCCTTTAGCCTTGCTTGAATTTTTCTCATCTGATTCACCAGAAGTTTTACTCCATTTGGGCACTTGGCAGGGTATAATCTGTGTCTGGTTCTGCCTTCCCCACCTCCATCAGGGAGGTTAAGTTTGCACTTATTTGAGAAGCAGAGTTTATACACATTCTGTGACAGGTGAAGCACTGCATTGAAAGTGTATTAAATTTCTTGTTGACTTGGGTCTTGCTAGTCCTATTTTTGCATTTATAAATATTAAGTGTTGCTTCTGGGGGGAGCAGGGGAAAATCACAGATTATTTGAGCAGGTGACTAAGTGCCTGACAGTGTCCTGACTAACCACTGCATGAGTGTTTTGCCTTTTATGTGATAAATACCCACTTGTCTTCAGAGGCTATGGGAGAAGGTAAAAACCTGCAGACTTCATGGTGCTCTGCTATGTCTTATTGCCAGGTTTTATGGTTATTTTCCTCTCCCAGAGGTTTTTTGTTAAAATCAACTACTCTAAAACAGAAGCATTCTGTTTCTTTAGACTCAACATTTCTATGAGCCAGCAGAGAGGAAAGCTGTGAGGTCAAGCCTGTTTTCCAGGCCTGCTTTTCTTCCAGCAGAAAAAAGGACATTTTAAGAGCAGCTCTCTAGCTTGTGTCTGTTTTCATGCAGTGCAAACTATACAAAGCTTGATCTTGCAATAAATGTAAATACTGTTAAGGACACTGGAAATCTGCAATCTATCAAGAAAAATCCACAGATTAGGTGTCTGTGACAGAAGCAACATAAGGCACAACTCCTCTCTCTGTAAGTTCTTGTAACTCTCAAGAATAAAATATAAATCAAGAATAGCAGAGGTGACTTGTAATAAGTCTTTTCAGCTAACACACCTCTGTATTGGAGAAAGAATCCACAGACATTACAGGACCTTCCCTTCAGTTATTCCAGGCTCAATAGAAGTTGTCCTGGTGGGGAGGAGAGTGTGGCTAGACCTGAGCTTAGAAACCAATCTGTTCTTTCTCAAGCAGGGTCAGTAGCTATTCATCCTGAGCAAAGAGCCTTTCTGTGTATTCTGTGCTGGGCAGCCTCTCGAGCCCGTTCTGTCAGGACGTGGGCTCATCACTGACAGTTTGTTAGATTAAAGTTCCCTGCTTGAAAAGGTGCAACCACACTTGGCAGAAAGGGCTGTCAGGCTTCCAGTCCTAATGCCATTTCTGGGGCATGAACACAAAAATATAAACAGTACAGTAGATGAGATGGGGGTGAAAAAGGAGGGGAGGAGGGGAAGGAGTTTTGGTGTTGGGGTTTTTTATTATTTTTTTATTTCATTAGCTCATTAAGTTTGCCATGGATTTGGGTACCAAAATGCTCTTCTACAGATCTTGGTTGAGAATGTTCATACAAAGACGGGGGGTTAAGATATTTCCACTGAAGGAGGAATTACAGGAGAAGAAACCATTAATGGTTTTGTTCTCAAGTCTGTAAATCCATCTTACTCAGTGTGAGGAGACTTTGCTTTTCCTTAGCACCCGAAACAGCCTCAACACAGTGAACTGTTGTGGTAACACTGAGCTGCCTTGGGATCTGGAGTTTCTCACAGCATCATGAGGCAGCCAATTCTGTGCTGAGACTTGACGTCCTGGTTGGTTGCCTTTCTCTGCTTTCTCTCAGGTTGTGCTTCATGGCAGACTGATTCATGATGCTCTCCATTAGCAGTGATTTTCTTCACCTAGCACATCTTTCCCTTGCAGAGATCAGCTTTTTTGTTCCATGGCTGATCAGTTTTCACCCCAGTTTGCAATAGCTTGTAAGGGCTGGCTGCTGCCAGTGTTGCAGTGCTTCTTGTTGGACTATAAAATAAAACAAACAGGAGACAAGACAGCTGAGATGCACCAGTGTGGAGGGCTGGAGACACTTGTGGATGTTTAGCCATTCCTTGATACCTTGGATGCAATGCAGGAGAAAAATAAAACACATGAAATTTCTGCAGCACTGTACGATGGAGTGTTTGGGGAACAACCTTTGTGAATCATTTGTAAATGCCTGACAGGCACAAAAATGCTCTCTGGAGAGAGATGGTTTAGTGAGAAGGATTTGTTGCATTTCAACTGCTGCTAATTTGTGGGCTGGAAGTGCAGTTCAAGAGGGAGTAGGTGAGGGATATTTCCCTGCCATGTTGCAGGTCAGAACTGAAGTGCTGAGACTGCTCTGAGGACAATAATGGGGATTGCAGTGTGCTTGGTCTCAGTGCTGCTACCCTTATTTTATTGGGCACTAAAACATGTTGGCTGGACTGATTTTTGAGAGGGAGAGGAATTGGCAATCTGAGAAAAGAAGGACTCACAGCTACTTCATGCATTTGTCACGAGGCAAGAACAGTGCTCTTGAGATTGGCTTTAGCCTTTGCTGTTGGAGAATCCACACTGAAATCTTTCCCAGTTCTTTGCTGTTATTGTGCAGGACACAGCAAATGGCCTCTCTGGTAACAAAGGACGTGGCTTGACCTGAAGCTGGCTGCAGTTTCAACATGTAGCTGTTTGTCTCATAAATGTGGGAAGTGGATCATTCCCTCATAGCCGTAACATCTCCTCGCTTCTGTCATCACCTTGGTGTGCAGTGGGTTTGTGATGGTGTTGGAGTGCAGTGCTGAAATCTAGGCTGTGTGCCAGGTGGGATCTTCCTAGCTGTGAGTCAAGTGTTAGGACTCCTTCAGTGTCATGTATGTGCAAAACACCTCTTTATATATATCCCAGTATGTCTGCTGCTGCATTGCTGCAGCATATTAGATGCTCATTTGTGCTTGTAGTCCATGGTAATCTTTGGCTCCTCCTTGAATGGATGCTTACTCCTGATTCTGTAATTACAAAGTTGATTGTTTCTGAAGAGTAAACTTTGTAGCTGTCTTGCTGCATCCTCCCATGTTTTTCAGACTATCACTTTGATTTGCCAGAATGTTTCTGCATTCTAGTCCTGTTCTCCAATATGCAGCTCTTAGTGTCTTGTGCAGATTTAATAAGCAAGTTCTCTATTCCATTACCCAGGCAATTACTGAAAATACTGAATAGAAGTGAACCCAGGACAGGCCTCTCTGGAACCACACTCAATGTTCTTACATTTTTGACAGGAAACCATTAAGTACGTCTCAATACATGCTTTTCCAATTAGTTATCCATCTACTTTGCTTTTGTCTAGCTTATGTTTCTCCAGATTTTTTGCTTTATGACTGTGGGGAAACCTTTGTCTGCAGGGATAACTTCAGAGATCTGCACATTTCTGTGCTGATAAGTTTGATCTCTTCTAGGAAATGTTTGTTATTAAATTCCATCTTTCTCCTTTAAGCAATCTGCTTATTTTTCTCTATACTTTTATTTTTTATTTTAATAGGGACTAAACTTATTTTATTTGTACTCTTGTGACCCTTTCCTGTTATGCACAAGCTCACTCTAAAGTGAACCCAGTACTGCCACTGCTAGAGAGTCACTGAACACAGCAGTCTGAGTGAATTATTTTTACAGTACATGAACAGAAACTGGTATCTAATGTGGAACTAAGGGCATTATCAGAAGAGTGTACCTGAAGATGACTTCTCTTGGAGTGATGCTGTGAAGATGTTGTTAGCAGCTCTGATCAAATAAAGCATTCTGACATGGTAAACAGCAGGTGAAAGCACACCCAGACAGACAGCAGCAGCTTTGAACAGGACAGTTCTGTGTATGCTTCCAGGCATCCCTTGGGAATGCATTGAGCTATTGGCACTCTTACTTTCAGCATCCAAAATAACCTTTGTAGCACATCTGGGGGAGGGAGGTGGGGGGGAAAGAAAAAATGCCTGCATGGAATGAGAATCACATTGTGGAAAAGAATAAAGGAAATGTGTTGTGCATCCTAATGGTCTGTTTTGTGTAGCAGCAGAGGAGCTGCTGGAGAGCCAAGGCAGTTCCGAGAGGAGTGGTGCTGTTCTGCCTGGATAAACAGTTCAGTCTGCCTAATGTTTGAATGGTATTATGAGGCTTTGTAGCTCAATGGTCAGATTGTCATGACAAATCCAGACTTGGGTGGTATAAAAAGGATGACCTCTCGCCTCTGTTTTGTTGCTGCTCATTGAGTAATTTTGCTATTAACAGGAGCTGGTGTGCATTAAGCTAATAAGGTTCATTTGGGGCACTGTCCACTGCATGTGCATTTGTGTATTATGTTGTACCTATTAAAAGTGTTGCAAATGCAGAAGAAAGTCTCTAATGCACAGAACTAAGGGTGTTCAGCTGTATAGCAAAATGTTTTTTTTAAGCAAACTGCTCAAATTTAGTGAATAAACACCTGGTTTAACTCTTTAACCACCCCTGCTATCTTCTTTCAAGTATGAGTAAATACTCTTTGCTGACTTAGTTTAATGATAGATGGGGGGAGGGCCTTGAGGTGCTCAAGGACAGTGGCCTTGCTCCCAACACCCATCAGTGTTGTGGCCAAGGTGATACCTGGCTGCAAAATGGGAGCAACGGGAGAGTTCCAAACATGGAAACTGCTCGGTCTGGGTAAAGAGACATGTGAGAAGTGTGATTTGACAGGCACAGGAGGATGAGTATGGGCTGTTGGTGAAATGGATGTTACAGTTCAAGGTCTGATTGCTGATGTCTCTCCCTTCCCTTCCAGGGTGACAACTTCAGGAGTAATGGAGGGCATGAAGAAGGTCAAGAAAGTGGTGAATGGTTCAGCAGAGCCCCAGGGCGAGTGGGAAAGCACGGCATGATGGACTGGACTAAGGCAGCACTTTCAGAGGAACTGTTTTAATTTATTAATATTACTCTCAGTGGAAAGGGAGCAACTTGCACTTCCCACCACTGAAATGGCAGAGTGGGGTGTGTCTGGGGGGAGGAAAGCGGTGCAGAAACATAACTGTTCCTTTGATCATAAGAAAATGGGATCTCCTGGTACCTGCAAGGAGTGTGAAGCTTTCCTAGGGATTTTGGGTAGCTTATTCTTTTTTTTTTCCCCCCCTTTCTGGATCGGTTCTGCAGCCTGAATTGTTTGCAGTTGCATTCTTCAGAATGTGTAATGCTAATGTGAAGAGAGACCTTCAGTGTGTATGTAAAGTATATATTTTATATAATGTGCATATATATATATATACACACACACTATGTAACATGTATGCCAGGAGTTACAAAGCGTGGGAAAAGAAGATAAGAGATGTAAGTATTTTTTTTTTCTTTTTATAAACACTCCTTTAGACAAAACGTTGCAAAACATGAGTAGGAGCAACTGCAGTTATTTGAGAGACTGAATGGGTGTTGGATGAGGTGACTTCTGGCACTGCTCACACCAGTGGGAAAGTGATAAGTATCTTATTTTATCCATGCAGGTATCCACCTGAACGTGCCAGGTTTTTAGATGTGTTACTGTACAGGAAACAAGTGACTGTTCTCCATTAAAGCACTGAGCCCACAGTGCAATAAGAATTAATGTACATTCTCCACTGTCTGTGGAGTTTCTCTTGACTCACGCTCACCTGACAAGAAGTACATAAGAGGTGTAAGACTGATGCTTGCTTTTTAGGGGTCTGCCATGCTATCCTAAACATTTACTTTCAAGCTGTGACCCAGAGCACCTTGGTCTGCTTGATAAAATATTTTCAAGGTATTTCAGAAGTCTCTCCTTTCTGACTCAGTATAAACAGTACCAGACTCTCCAGTGGAAATCTGTCTAGCCAATTTACTGCAGTATAAATCTCTGGTTCACCATTATCCTGAGTTACCTGACCTCTCTGGATGGCTACTTGTACCTGTCTGGCTATGTAGGAATTAATGGCACTGCTGTTTGAGACGAGCTAAACTGGTCAAAATGGTATTGCCACCAAAACCAGGCAACTGCAGCTCCCAGTCCTAGATGTTTTTTGTCAGGAAAGAAGATGACCAGAACCTCAATGCAGGGGAATATGGAAGCCTTGACTGTCAGTGGAGTCTTTACAGTCATGTTGCAAATGCCACATGGATTTTCTCTGTAGTCCCTGCTGTGGTGAGTGAGGCAGCTGCTGTCATAGGTGCAGGAGTGAGAATGGTTGTTAATTCGGGGGAGGATGGAAGTGGCTCACTGATGTAATGAGGATAAGCTTTAAGAAAAATAAATCAAGTATAGCTCACTGACCCACTGAAGCCTTAATATTGATTGTAGGGGTGTTGAAATGTGGTGCTGTTGAGCCAAGTGCTTCTGCCAGACTGACAGGGATTGGCATCCTCAGAGCTTTGGAAGTGCCAGCATTGCTTATGGACTCATTTAGGAATTGCTTTTTTGAAGGGGCTACATCTCTGGGGCACAACTGATTAGAGGACTGTTAGCCACTAGGTAATTTTATTCTTCAAGCTTAGAAGGAGGATTTCCTTTAGAATCTTGAACCACTTCCTCACTTTTGAGCAGGGGTTGCAGAGCTCTTGGTGAGCAGTCTGTACCAAGAGGAGCAGCTTCACTTTCTCCAGTTGCCACTTTTCCCAGATGTTGGTTCTATGCATCATGGAGATGGTAGAAACAAATCTGCCTGCTTCATACCTGAAACTGCTTTCTCTTCAGATAAAGCATGACAATAGCCCTGTTCTCTGGGTGCAGAGTCTTCTTCTGTTTTTCTCCTCAGCCATAACTTCACAGTAATCACAGCAGTGATAGTTTGACTTTTGCTGTCATTGCCTTGCAGTGAGACAGTTTTAGTGGGAACAGATCCTACACCACTAGAGAGGCTGTTTGGTGATCTATGGGCCTTTTAGACCTTCTGTAAGAATAAATCTGCATATTAAGTAGCTGAGGTGTGAGAAATTGCACCATAAACACAGGCAGACCCAGCTCATCATACACTTAAATACAATACCTGGAAAACTCATCCTCTCGCTCTGCAGAGTTACTCTGTCCCTGTGGAATTGTCACTCACTGCATCCAAAGGGCTGCTCAGACAGGCTGTACACTTTGTTCAGAGAAGCCCACTGGAGGCTTAGTCTGTTGGGACTGAGAGGTATGTAAGGGATAAGGATAAAGTGCAGTAACAGTGTTATCTGGACATGATGCTGCTCTAGAACATGTTAATTCCTTTTGTGAATGAGATGTGAAATTCTGATGGCTGTGACATTTCACCCAAAAACATGAGGGCTGTGCTGAGATCCCAGTGAGTGCAGAGCTGGTTCCAAACAGCTGCCTATTCCATACCTCAGCATCAGTGGAGCTGACAATTTGGCAAGTGCTGTTACCTTAGTCTCAGGTTTCTCTTTTTCATATGCACTTTTTTTGCTGAAGTTGCATCTGGTGTAGGTTTATCTGCCAAGTCCCTGGCTCGCTAGTCAAAGGCTAAAAAATGGGTCATTTCTTTTTGTCTTGGCATGAAAAGTCACAGCAGTATTCCGGAAGTATTTTTTTTTGGAAGAGCTTTTTCCAAGTGCAGCCCGGAGTTTCAGCAGTCAGCTCTACAACCAGCTTCAGCTGGTGCTTAGTGCAGGATGCCAAGCAGCAGGAACTGGTCAAACCTGGGCATTAGGAAGCAAAATGAATGTCATGTACAAGTCAAAAACCAAAAAATTCTCTCTTTGGAAACGGCTGCAGTAAATTTCCACTTTCTCTGGTGGAATTCCTCAGAGCAGGTCAGGAAGTGTCTTGCAGGGGTGTGCGATAGATTGGACGGTGGGATGGTGGAAGATGGAAGAGGATGCAGCTGTGCTTCTCTCACTTACTGTGCTGCAGTGCAAAGCATCAAAGAGAGGGCTGCTCCCTCCCCTCCCTCCCAGGCAAACCCCCAGCTGCAGGACTGGCACTGCAGGACTGGCACTGCAGGACTGGCACTGCAGGACTGGCACTGCAGGACTGGCACTTCGACTCCAGGGCGAGTGGAGTGCGGCAGCTTGGAGCTCCCCAGGCAGGATAATCAGTGCCTGCCTTTCACGTGCTGACAGCTGCTGATCTGGTGTAGGAAGCTCTGTCTTTCACAGGGAAGCTGGAGGAGCTGCTGTGGATTACAGATTGCTTTGGGATACAGCCTTACTATCCTGTCTCTGCCTTTTGCTGAAGCGGGGAACTGAAGCAATCACGCTGACAGGACGCAGAAGTACAGGGACAGCAGGTCTGGTGCAATTCAGAATAAATGGTTGGAATGCTTTCCCATATGTTGCTGCAGTGGAGCACTCAGCACCCTCTGCAGACAAAAATGAGATTGGTTCAGTCTTCAGTTGTAATGCAGGTTATGCCCCAATAAATCCCTGTTGATGATGACATGCACATGCCACTGCTGCACTCCTCCCTCCTGCTGTCACTGTTCAGGGTGTCTTCCAGAGGGAGCCTTGCAGTGCAACTGCCAGACTCTTGCATTCCTCAGGCTGGAAAAATGTTTTCCTTGATGGTTCATCAAGAGACTTACTGAAGGAAAGCAAGACATAATGGGGTCATCTGGAACACTGCTGCTGCTTGCTCAGAGTGGAGCAGTTTGAGCTCCACATGCTGTCCTATTAAGATGCTCTTTCATGTTGTCATCTAACTCGGCGTGTCATGATCTGTGCAGTGCATTGTTCAGTGTTTCTCTCCAGCTCAGTGCCCTGTCCCTGGATTTCCATGCTGGCATACCCTGGGAGCATGTTGTAAAAAATTTGCTGCATTGCAGTATTTTGTCTTGGAGCAAGTAGTGTGGAAGATGTATTTTTCTAAGCTGAGTGGACTCTCTGTGGCATGAGTGTGCATCCACTGTGTATCCTTGAGCACTGTAACACTCCTTCTGCTCGTGGAAGGGTGTGTCCTAAGCACTCCAGCTTGCACATCTGGTGGAAGTCCAGTGGAAGATTTTTAGTATGTTAAGTCTTTTTTCCTTTCAGCGTGCTCCTTTTAGAGAAGAGAAGTGCAGTCTGGCTATTGACAATGAGATTGACAAGAAAGGAGGGGTTTTTTGTTGTCTAGTTGAAAACTGCCCACTTTGAAGCAAATTTTGGGTATTTGTATGCTCTGTTGAGCTCTGAGAACTGGAGTTGCTTAGCTATTAAGGAGAGGGAAGGAAATCCTCCTTGCTTCAGTCTACCTTTGGTAGGTTTGTCTCCTTCAATTTGAGCTGCCATGCCAGCTGGCAGACTGCTGTCACTTTAAAGCAGATGTGTTTTATGGATTCTGTGTTATGACCTCCACTTCACTCATTCAGCATGTCCCCGTTTTTCAGCTGTGTACAAAGAGTGTGGAGCTGTGGTCTGCAGGAGTGGGAGTTACAGTGATGTTTGAATTTGATGGGATTCACTATCTGAAACCTGTGACCTTGTGTGTTATGCCAGTAACCTCCATGTTTCATGAAAGCTGAGGTGGTGCTGCCCAGAGGCACTTAAGCAATCTTACTTTATGTTCCCTGGGGTCAGTTCGCTGAAAAATGTTGTTCTAAATTGGATTAATGTGGCTTTTTTTTTTTGTAGCTGCTGGGTGCAGTGCTGTCTTGGGCTTACTAATCACTTTTCCTTAGCAATATTGGGAAGCTGTGTATTTCCTTTGTGTAGTTTCTTGCTTGGATCAAGCAATGATCCTGTAAGAACTGCACGTGACACATACTCACAAGTGGCTGGAACAGGATTTAGGACAATACTGATACTCTCTATAGGTGTAGAGTGATGGTCCTGGGAGAAAGTGGCTGAGAAAAGAGTCGCTCCTTGTAGGTTGACTGGCTCAAGAACCCATTTATGTTTTGACTGCAGCAATCCTGGAGAAAGGACAATTCTGAATAAATATCTCCCTGTGGGATTTCATTTGATGTTCTGCTCTCTGTGTAATAAAGTAGAGCTCGACCTCCACGTCATCAGAAGCACTTCATCCTGTAGCCAGGATACTGGAGCATGGGGCTGGTACCAGCTCTGTCAAAACAGAGGATGGGTCTAAATAGCTTCCCTTGCCCTTTAGTAACTATTAATAATTAATTCTAGATCCTCTTGTGTCATTAAGCAGCTTTAGGGCACCTTGTACAATGTAGCTTTGAATTCATTTAGTAAATGACCTCCAGAAGAACTGAAAAATACTTTCCTGTGTACAGCAAGGTCCAATTCCAGGGGTTTTGGTGACCTGTAAATATCCTGTTCCTCAGTTACTGTTCAGATGTAAAAATGGATTTTTTTTCAGTATTTTTTTAAACTTTATTAAAAGAACAGCAAACAGTATTGGAAGAGAAGCAAAGTAGAGACAAGTCAGGGCAGTCTGTGTAACTTAGTTTCCCTGCTGTGATGCAAATGTGTAAAATAAAGATTGACCAGAAAGAAGTTTAATGCATCTCATTTTCTGTTTCTGAACTGCCAGTAGCCATGCTTACCCATTGATTCCAAAGTCTGCTTTTTCCTGTGCCCAGCTTCCATTTCCAGCCCTTAACATCTGCATTGTGGATACAGGGCTGAATTACAAAAATCTTGGGAGGAAAATTTTTTCTGTGGGAAAAGCTTTCCTGTCAGTGACCCACTGAGGTGCCTTTTCTTGAGCTGGAA